ATAATAATAATAATAATAATAATAATAATAATAATAATAAAATATAACTTGTGCCACATGCCCACAATTCATGTGGAACAAATAATCAGAATTCTGTTATCAATGTTGCTAGAGTACTTCAAACAATTATATGCTAATTAAGGTGACCATACCACAATTGAAAAGGTTAAACTTAAAGCAAACATAACCTACCCTCCTTTTCAATATCCCCACAAATTTAACAAACTGCAATAAATTTACAAACTCAGATAGTCTATCGTCTTTCTCGAATCATCATATCAAAGCCGCTTGATTTTTCCAAATTCATATCAATTTTAAATTCAACATACAGAGACACAGAAACATGGAAAATATTTAGAAAATAGAAGAAGTTCGTACGAATTGATTGAGAAGATCAAACCCCAATTTCGCAAATTCTGCCGTGGATTTTAGTTGCTTGTCGGTTTGATTGTGAGGTGAGTGTAAGTATCGGACAGAGTCACCGTAGCAAAGGAGTAAAAACCTTTTAAATTTATGTAATGAATTAGACCAAGCCCAACACAAACATATAATTTATAATATATGTACATATATATATATATATGAGGCCCAAAAAATTGGAGGCCCTAGGCTGGAGCCTTGCTTGGATGGCCCAAAAGCCGGCCCTGCATCCCACCACCGTCTATCCGTGCGTCCGTGGGTTTAAACTCTCAATTTCGTGTTGTTCGCAACTTCTTTCTCTCATCGGAGAGTCCCTTTCTCTCAACGGAGAGTCGCTTCTTTCATCGGAGAGGTTAAGCTCACGATAAGCTCCAATATGGGTCTATATCAGCTATACCTTTCTACCGGTGGTGGATTAGATTCCCTGGTTGGAGTTTACTTGGGCAAATAATAGAGAGGATGAGGGGTTTGTTGAAGAAATGTTGGACAGAATGTTTGTTTTTTTAGAATGGATGACAACTTTCTCTCATACAAGAGTTCACAACTGGTTATATGAATAAATTAATAGTATATTTTTTCAAAATGTATAACAATAATAAGTTTAATACTAATTTTTAATTGGTACTAAGGCTGACATTTTCTTTACCAAAAATCAAAACGATCCGAAGAAGATAAAATAAATTGAACCGAATCGATTCATAACCGACTTGTTATAGGGTTGTATCGATTCTGAACCCATAACGGTTCGGTTAATACCGAACTGGACCAAAACAGACCGATTAGGATATTAAAAAATAAAAAATAAAAATTAGTAGCCGCCCAGCCCTCTAGGCTGTAATTATTTAGCCCACGCAACAATGAACCTCAAAGCCCAACAGTCTATTGATCTAATAAGGGAAATTTACATATATAGACACCCTATAATAAATATTTACATATATACGTTCAATATAAACTTTTATCAGATTGGAATTTTGATGTAATCTTTTTTCATATCTACGATGTGAGTGCTCATAATTTTATCTCTCTCTATATTAAACATGCATTAATTTAGGGATATGAGATTTCCCACCTGCCCATAATTTTTTCTCTCTCCATATTAAACATGCATTAATTTTGGGATATGAGATTTCTCACCTACTAATAATTTTCTCTCTCTCCATATTAAACATGCATTAATTTAGGGCTAAATAATCACAAGCAAAAAAGAAAAATCGCAAAAAAAATAAAAAATCTGATTTCAAAAGTTCAAACGGTTAATCGACATCTTGAATTCGAAAAAAAAAAAACCATCCAACCGCCAAATATATGTTTAGATATACTGTATATATACAATATATAAACATGATTAGACAGTACTCTAATATTAACCATATAGTTATACATAAAATAAACAACATATAAACAATTCTGAAACGAGATAAAACATAATACAAAATTCTGAATGATTTCAAAATCCAAATCAAATGTAATTATACATAAGATAAACAATATAACCACCAAATATAAGTTTAGATATAGTGTATATATACATCAAATAAACATGGTCTGGCGGTTCTCTAATATTAACCGTGTAGTTATACATAAGATGAACAACATATAAACAAACAATTATGAAACAGGATAAAACATAATACACAATTTTGAATGACTGCAAAATCCAAATAAAATTTAGTTATACATAAGATAAACAACATAGAAATAACTCTGAAACGGGATAAACATAATACATCTTGACATTAAAAAAATTGAGATTCTAAAAATATATGACATCTAAAAAACATCAGCTTAAAAAATACATAAACGTCCACTGGTACTACTGATGGCCGAGTTTCCTCCAACCGCACCACTTTCACACTGTTGCTGGGTCGAGCAACCGCGCACTCATGTTAGGCAAGCATCAACCTTCGAGAGCCTCCGTCAGTGCGGGCCTCGGGCGTTGCGCTGCCGCTCGTAGCCCGACCAAACTGGACCTCCATATATCCAAAATTGAAAGGTAATTTCTAAAAAAGAAGAGATAAGGGTGAGAGAGAGAGAGGGGTAACTTCGGTTGTCGTGAGAGTCGGTTTCTTGGAACCTTTCGGATCTCGAATTTTCTAAAATTGAAGCTTCTTTTGGATGACCTTATGCTCGAGTGCTTGAAATTGAGACGTTCGACGAGATCGGTAGCGTATTA